GTTTACGGTTGTAGATTGTACATAAATCTTAAATTGCTAATATTTCTATACTTGTATTTTTGTCTGATTTGTTAATATCTTTACTGGTTTCTCTTCTTACCTACTTTCCAATTAAAAACATTTTCCTACCTTTATTACGGCTTAATTAATCGGCCCGATCGTGATTAATTGGTTCAATCGTGATTAATCGGTTGTTAAATTAATGGCCAACTAATTTGGACTGTATAGATATTTAAAAATAAAACTACTGTTTTTTTTTTAAGAAAGAACAGCAGTCAGAGCAACAAACTGAACAGAAATATAAACATCTTGCAATTAAGATGAAAAACTTTCTTTGTTTGTAAATATGTTCTACACAGAAATCCTAAAGTAGCGAATTTAGCTCCACCTGGTTCAAACTCCTGTTAAATACTTTTTTCTATAAAATTATTAATTAGTTCATCTAAAAGAATAATCGTCAATACGGCTAACAATTTCTCTAATGTTCTCTAGATTTTAAAACATTTGTTGGAACGCTCCTTAGCATCTTGAAGGAGCGGTTTAACTCCCACCTGAACTAATGAGAGATTGGGGAGAACAAATTAAATTTTTATCAAATTTTTTTTATCAAATTTAAAAAAAAATTTTTGTGTGTATTATTGTGTGTGTACTGTTTAACATTTTTATTTGTTTTCATTCTTCGGCCTCCCTCACGGCGTCTCCTGCGTGTTTCCAGGTGGTTGAGGACGGTTACGAGTTCTTTGCTAAGCGTCAGCTGGTGACGCTGTTTTCAGCCCCAAACTACTGCGGCGAGTTCGACAACGCAGGGGCCATGATGAGCGTAGACGAGACCCTCATGTGTTCGTTCCAGGTGAGCATTACACCTGAATCTTTGAAAATTATCACAGCGCTCAAAAAATAAAACCTACAATATTTTCATACCTTCCTCGATTTGCAATTTTAATAAATTTTTTGTCTCTTGTAAAGAAATTACAAATGACAGATTAGGGCCAGGCCACAACAAATTTCTGTTTAATGGTGAGAATGAAATCATAACAGGATGTCCTTAAAAAGTCTTAAATTCACATATCTAAAAATTAGACCTTTAAAGTAGGTTGGCCTTAAGTCACAGGTCTTAAATTGTGTCTTTACAGAACTATTTAACTGTATATTCTGGGTTTTTTTTTCCTCACTTTTTGCAGGCTAGCTGACTAGCTAGCTTTTTGCATGCATCATTCATTAAAATTTTATGTTTTTTATCTTTATAATGTGTTCTTGAATTATTATTATTGTGTCTTTCCCATCATATTCCTTAAAAATTGTCTTAAAACAACAACATTATTGTGATCGCAATAACTTCTGGGACAATTTATTGTCCAGCAAAATTTAGCGTTGCAGCCCTACCGATTCTGATTCTGATATTCTTCTTTCTATTCTCAATATTGGGACTGATGCAGATATTAATACCTGTAGAAAACACAGTACTTCCTCTGTTTATTTATTACATGGTGTTTTTTTTCTTTAACAGATCCTGAAACCTGCCGATAAGAAGCTGTTCTACGGCGGCGGAGGTGGCTTGGGCTCCGGTCGCCCCGTCACTCCTCCCAGGAAAGCTAAGAAATGACAGCAGTAGTTTGCTTTTCGACCTCCGGCCCATCCCTCCTGCCCTCTCTACCTCTCTTCTCCTTTATTTCACCAAACAGCCAGAAATCAAACCTATACCCAGGGCTTTTTTTTGTTTTTCTCTTCCTTTTTTATCTGTACTTCTTAAAACATTTAATGTAATGAATTGTCTGAGTGAGTGCGTGCGTGCGTGCGCGGACTATAAACTTGTCTCGTCTGCAGGTGAGCATTAAAATCACATGTACATTTTTGCAAATTTATTGAAAGGTTTATACTTTCCCCTTGCTCTTACCGTGTTGCAACCAGACTGAAATCGCAAGGTGTTTTTTGGGAGACAGGTTGCTGTCGTGGCGGCTTTGGCAGCATACTTGTAGAGAGTAAGAGGGGGGAGGCGTGTTTTGTTTTCCCTGTTTCTGTACTGTAAAATCTCAAACACAGGTGTGTGTGGGTGTCTGTGTGTGTTTCGTGTCTTGCTTACTTTGCTGTGAGCAGTTGCATCATTTCCAAGCAAGAACACGCCGACACACACGCGCAAACACAAATGACTCGTCAGATTCATATGAGCCAGAGCTGTAAAAACCCCCCATACAGTTTAGGTTTGTACAGATTTGATTACTTGAAAGAGATTTTTTGTGAATTCGTTTTGTAGTCTTTCATCGAGTTGACCAATAAACCGAGAATCTGAGCTGCCGTGTCTCCTTCTTCTTCTGTGTTTGTGTAATTATCAGTTTTACATTGAACCCATGTTTAATTACAGGAATTAAACCGTAAATTATTCATTGATTTAAGCGTTTTTGTTTTTTCTAATATATTAAATCAGGGTTTCTGCACTTCCTTAAGTTTTAATTGCATGTATCTAAACGTAAGGCCCTAAAATGTCTTAAATTTATTAGAAAATTTACCTTAAATATTACTAATTACAGGTTTTAAATTTGTTGTTTAATCTCAGTCTATATAGTTTATTTTTCTGTCAGGCAAATCTTTATTACATCTTCTAACTTAATTGAGGCTGCCTCAAAAATAACAGCTATCTTTTAATTTATTAGCATTTAGAAATGTGCTAATAAACTGGTACTTAACACTATCACTAAGCTTAGCAGATAATTAGCTTCTAAATTTGCTAATTAGCTACTTTCAGCTACTTAGCTGAAGGTAATTAGTTGTTGAAACTTTAAACTGCTTTCACAGTACTTTAAATTAGCGACTTTAGCAGCTAATCAGTTAGTGATAACCTCACCTGCCAGTTTGTTAGCACCTCATCAGTGCTAATAAACCCTTGTTGGCTGACTAGCTAGCTAGCTTTTTGTGCCCATCTCTGGTAAATGTAGTTTGTTGGCTGGACAATGTAGATCATAGCCAGTGGGTCATCACTGTATGATGCTTTGTGTACTCTGCACAAAAAAGCTTTAGCTTTAAAACATAAAATATCCAATTTTCTTTTGGACAGGTCTTAAGTTTCATTCATGTTTTGTCTGTTATGGCTTGAGTTTGTGCATATAATACAAACATATAATACTGTTCAAAGTGATCAGAGAGGAAAAGGACTGCAAAAAATAAAGTGAAGACAAATATGAGTAAATTGAATTGAATAATTTATCATTTATTTGAATAAGATATAGTAGTTACATTGAGAAACATTTCTTCATGATACATCTTCTAGAAAAGGTGCAAATTGTCTTCAAACATTATTTACCCCACTTTTTTGACGTCACAAAATGAAGAATCTAATGGGTGTAAATGAAAAAACACATTTCAGGGTTTGTTTGTTTTTTATCTGCACACAAGACACAAAAAGGAACCAAATGAAAAAACTGGAGGATTGACTTTTTATTTGGTGTGTGATGTTTGCTTTTGTCCACAAGGTGGCAGTGTTAATGAATAAATCCACTCCCATTAGTTCAAGAAATAAAATTTAACTTAATGTTTTATTACTCTAGGTTATGTGTTAAGATGTCTCAAATTTAATTACATGCAAAAATGTAAAGATTTACTTCACATGCAGCTGCATTTTTACTAAAAACAATATCAAAGTGTTATTGTTTGATGACACTTTGATTTCAAACAATCAAAGTGTTGTTTGATATAAACTATTTTTTTAAAGTTTTATCTTTAAAAAGTAGATTTTAAAGATAAAACTATTTCATGCTGCCGTTCTCTGGAAAAATTTGGCGTCTTTCTTACTGATTTAAAGGAAGTCTTGTTTTCTTCTCTCTTTTTTTGCATTCATTCATTTTCCTGTCATCAGCGACCTGGTCAAGACGCTCCATCCATCACTCTGCCTTCCTTTTACAGGAACACAGAGGTGAGGAGCAATGTGTACTACTGTAGAATGGAGGCTTAAAAAGGTCATGAACTCTTTGTCCTTCCTAAGATCGTAATAAAGGTATTTTACAAGTCGAATGACGTTTCTTTTACCAATTATTCAATTGAAAATATATGAATTTCAAATATTTTATGTTTTTACTTATTTATTTGTAGTCTGAAGCTCACTGTTTGCTAAAATCTCCAATTCTTTCTCTATTTTTGCCTCTTTTTAAGTTTACTGGAGGATTTTTGGGTTAAATCTGCTGCTTGGTGAGCTTTGAGGTCCAAATTGATCCTGACTTTGACTTCAGTGAGTCTGTTTACCAGATTAAGATTCACTGGAAAGAGAAAACTCAAGTATTGCACCTCCTTCGCTTACAGCTGTGCCTTTGGTTAGGGAAGGTCAGTGGACTTAAAATAGATAAGACATTAAATATGTTTATTTTACAGAGTTCATCTTTCAGATGATACCAAATACTGTACATAGCCATTCATATCGCCTTGCCCGCCTGACACACTGAGCCGTTTTGTAATTTATGACAGCTATTATAAAACTGCACAAGGATTTGGTTTATGACACTTTGGTAACAGAATGGCCCTCATGAAATATAAGCCTCCTGATTCATGGATGTGTTCCAGTCAAATGGCAAGGCAGATGTTCTTGTGGACGCAAATATTGGTAATTTAATGCTGAACAATGTGTTTTACTGCAACTAAATTCATCATGGTGATTCTTTAACTAAGCTGGAAACATTATTTAGTGGAAAGCGTTGAGTAAATAAAGACATTCACTCAATCTTTTTTTTTCTACTCAGCAGACATTTTTCTTCATTTTTTTTTTTGTCTACACACAAGCCAAAAAAAAAAGAACCAAATGAAAAACCACTAACCCTAACACTACCCTAACAAACACTTTGAGATTGTGATTATTTTAATTAAAAATGCAGCTGCATGTGAAGGAAATCTTTACATTTTTTACATGAAGGTATCTGCGCTTCTTTTAAAAATATAACATTTATAAATCAGAAGTTAATTAAAATTCTAATTAAAAAAATGTAAAAAAAGTAAAATAAAAAAAGCAAATTGGCCTCAGATACGTTTGATCCCATTAAAATCTGCGGCGGCTGGATTATTTAAAATAGACCAATTCCATGTTATTATTTACATACGGGTATTTCGCGCATGCGCATATTCCTGGAGTGTAGCGGGGCCTGAAAGACGTTTGTTTTACTCCCCGCTCATCGACGCGCTGCCGCGTTAGAACCGTTCAGTTAACAGGATGAAACCCAGAAATGTAAGTAACATTAATTTACATCATCTTTTGACAGAAGTTCGCTAAAGTTACTTCTTTTGCGAAGAAGTAACTTTCTTCGTTTAAGAAGAAACTTAGAAAGCAGTGAAACCCACTGCTAGCTTTGCTAACAGTGGTTTTCATGTATAGAACCTTCAGGCGCCATTACTTTTCACTGAGTCATGTCTGTAAACGAAACCGTTCGATTAGACACAAAAATGGCTGTAGAGCAATGGCTGCAGCACCCTTATTTCTAATCCAACTTCATAAAATATGGCTTAAATTAGAGTAACATTCTGTCTTCTACCAAGATATAATTCTGTAGATTGTATTTTTGTATTCTTTTGGGACTTTTCTGTCAGTCAAATGTTTGAGGCGCGATGCTAATGCTAACTTGCTATGAATATATCCTGGCTATTACAATAGCTTTGGCCACCAGAGCCTGGCTACCACAGCCATTGTGGAAGGAAGAAATGAGGAGTCCCAAAAAGTTAATTTTTAGGTTAATCTGACATTTTAAACTCAAAATGTCTCAAGAAAAAAAAAGAAACTTTGAGATTCAGCTCTGAAATTTTCTAGAAAGATTTTCTAGAAAGATCTTTGAAAGTTTAAAATTTTCAGATTGGTCTATGGGCCATACAAAGCATGTTCATCACAATTTTTGCACAAAATTATAGATAATGTTGTTAGCCTGCTCAGTTTTGCTTATTTTGATCACTTTTCAGAATTAACTGTTTTAGCGCTTCTTATCACTTTAAACTAAGATAAGCACCTGTTGGTCATGTCACCCAACTCAACTTATGCTCTCATGTGAAAATGGCCTTACATCTTAGAAAAGCAGAAGTCGAGCCTCATGCACAACCAAGGATGGAACAAGTGATTTCTGGATGGTAAGTCAGCAACAAAACATTAATCTTTTCCAGCAGCCATTGTATTGCACATACATACATCAGTAAAACCAACTGATGTATGTACCTAGCTTGGGTTGCTAGGTAATCGGCTGGGGTTGCTAGGCGAGTGTCTGCTGATTTGTGACTTAACATTCGGAAGGTTTTTGAAACCATTCACATTGCAGACACCGAAAAACTTTAACTTATTGCCAAAAAGTGCTTGGGCTCCTTTTAGAAGCAATAGAGACCCAAATGGAAGCACAAAAAACGTGCAAAATGTAAATTTTTTATAATCGATCTCCTTTATTCTGATGGAATTTCGAATAGATAACAGGATAACAGATGACTTATAACAACAATTTTACAAAGGTTTGATGATTTTGCAAAAAAAAAAAAAAAACAAAAAAAATAACTTAACCTTATTTAGGATCAGATTGGAGTTTTCTAAAAATTTTAACTGCTCTGTAAATTATTCTCTTTTGCGAGACTTTCAGCTCACCTCGAGTTTCCTAATGAAACGCCTCTGGGTTGTAAAATGCAGCGCAAACCAGGTAAGCGACACTCTATTAAAATGATCCACTGTCTCGCGTTCCCTCATCAACTCCCTCATGGCTTATATAGTACATCCCTGAGTGCTTGGGATGGTGTGAACAACCAGAACCTTCGCAGTCCTACTGGACACTAACGACACTGAGGAGCTTTAATGAGTCCCAGCGTTTCTCCGTCATACATGGAGGTTTGATTCATGAATCTGAGCTGCAGTGAGGAGCAGACATTCCCACGTAAAAACACAGCAAAGCTGTTGTGCTGCCACCGCCGACTACACACTGTCGCCTTCTCTATTTATATCTGCAGAGGAATTCTGGATTCGGAGGCTCAGCTGCCACTTCTATTATTACTATTAGCTAATACTGTAACAAGCACAGTACTAAAACCAACTTTATGGCTGCTTTATCCATAACCCTAATTATGTCCACACTGTTGTATAAATCCAATCACTTTTAGCATGCTTTGCATGTGTAGAAAACGATATGCAGGTGCAATCAGGTTCAGTTCTGCTTTGTTTTTACAAAAATAATATCTGTGGTGTAACTGAATTTTACCTACACTTCAAAAAACACAAATCTAATCAAATATCTTTGGTAGTTTCTCGTGCAACTATCTTAGATGACCCTAAAATTGCACTCAGGTAAGAGTAGCAGTAATTCAACATAAATTCACTCTAGAAAAGGTAAAAATTAGCTGTCCAAGAAATTACACGAGTAAAAAAAATCGACTCAAGTACAAAGCAACTGAACAATATTTAAAAATTGCATAATCGGATGGACTAAAATATAAAGTTACGTTAAAATTGTGTTGTTTTTTTTTTAAGATCTAAATGAGAATTATTAATATAAATGGCATAATTGCTAAATAAACTAATTCTAAAGAAACATTCTTTAAAATATAATTCTTTCAATATGAAACCTATGAAAATTTAGTGAAAATACCAAGTGTTCATCTCTTTGCCAGAGGAACTGCAACTTTTTCAGCAGCATTAAGGAATCATTGACTTAAAACAGTTTTTGCTGAAAAGTTACTTGTAAGAAAGCTTTGTCTTATTTTCAATTGTGTTCAGAAATTTCACTAGAAACTAGAGTAAAACTACTTGGTGCGATTTACGTTTTTTTTTTGAGTGCAGTGCAGCGTTTTCCCTCAAGGTGAGTTCGAAGTGACTGCTATGAGTCTGAGGTTTTCTCCCTCGTTGTGAGGATGTGTCGGGCCTGCGCTACACATATCGGTTCCCTTCACTTTGAAACCTGATTATGCTGCTTTCGTCTTCACTTTATACTTAATACAATTAACAGGAGGCTCAAGCTGAAAATATCAAAATAATTAAATTAAACGTCTTATTGACGATGATCACTTTAAATAGTTACTTTACAAGTCTGTATATTAGTGCTTGAAATACGACAATTAACTAAAGAGTAACTTTTCAGAAAGATATTGGAGCTTGTTTTTGGTCAATAATTGCTTAATATGGCAGATTATTTCACTTTGAACAAGAACAAGTAACAAGTAAATTAATCTGCCAGTGAAGTAAGCACTTTTCCAACGATATTAAGGAATTATTGATTAAAAACAACCTCCTATATCTAGCTGAAAAGTTACTTATAAGGATTTTTTTGCAAATTTGTGCACAAATTTTTGATGTGGCGGGTGGAAACCTCTCCACAATGCAATCTTCAGAAAATACATCAGGGCTACACATCTCAGAGTGACACCCGTTGCCTGTCACTTTGCTTGAGGTCTGCAAGTCAGCAGAGACAGAGTTAGTTGCATAGGATGAGTACAGCTGCGCCACCGCAGTGCTCAACACTTGTTTTAATAACTGGGAACATGGACAAAGTTCAAAAGTGGAGAGAGGAAAGCGCTGGCTGGCACACGGTGATCCCTCAGCCAGGCTGAAGGGTGTGGCGCGCTAACCCAGCAGGGGGCTGGTGGAGATGGGTGTCCCAGTTCGCAGGGTCTGCAAGAGATCCTGCATGCACGGGCTACTCACACTTCAGCGACAGACGGAGGCGGAAGATGGAGGGGAGCACGGCAGAAACCTTATCCTTCTGGGATATTGAGTTAAATGTCACTGCTGTGCCCTGAGGGAGACACTGACAGGCCGAACCCTTTCACGGCCCCCGAAATCTCAGAGGTCACAGCGGCTGTACGACAGCTGGGGGCCCGGAGAACGAGCGGATGAAACGGAGATGGTACGCCGGCGGAGAGCAACACATAGAAACATGTCTCAGTGGGGAAAAGATTCAAATGCAAAAACACAGAAGATCACCAAGTTTTTTCTGTCTAGTTTCGAGTACAAATATCTTAGTATACTTAGAATAATACGAACCAAATTTACAAGTAACTTTTCAGCAAGATAGAGAAGCTTGTTTTCAGTCAATAATTCATAAATATTGATGAAAAATGTCCTGTAAGTTCAGTACAAGAGGCAGCAGGACATTTACAGCTCTGAAAACAAACAATAAATCAGCACTTTGAGTTTTTACCTGTTTCCCTCACTGCACCGGTTCCACCACAAGAGGCCAATGTCCTGCTCTGGACCTGGATCGTCTCTGACTCTTTCCCTTCCTCATGAAAAACAAATAGATAAATAAAACTTGATCCTGGAGGATCTGCAGGCGGGAGCTACTCTTCTGCGATGCCCATATCTTGGCCATCATTCCTCTGCTGCTCTTTCTTCATCTGTCCTCTCAGGGTTCATTCACCCCAGACCTGTTTGGTCCGTTTTAATCAAACTACAAAGTGGTTCGTTTGGAGGGGTGTGAATGCACAACTGAACTCGGATGTGAACCAAAAAGCAAACTGGTCTAAACGACGGAGTTTTAGGGCCATTGTAGAAAATAGTACATTTTTGCCAAAAAAACTCATTTCTGAGAACTTGAAAATTAGCTTTAAAAACACTCAGAAGTTTTATTTTTTTCTATCTACAACTGGCCTAATACTCTATATATGTCATGTATAGTTGATAATATCGTTACTCGAGGAAAAGAGCTACAATGTAGTAAAAATCCAAATGAAAACTAAAAAAATTTGCTCGAAAAAAATCATAAATTTAGAGATAAATCTCAGAACTTTTCTAGAAAAAACATGAAAAGTTCTGAGTAAAAAGTTGATTTTTTTTAAAAACATTTTTTGAACAGAGGTCACTCGACTTTTTTGTTCTCCGTCATTTTGACGGACTGCGAAAAGAAAATCGGTCATGTACTATTTTTACCCGTCAGATTATAACCATATTGACATCGGCTGTTTACCGCATTCTTGTTAAAGTCTAATTAACTTCTGCGCCATTATTTATTTCCTCAAGACAAACTTCTCTGTTTAGACTTTTAATGGATTAACACAACATTGCATTGTCTTTAGTTTTCTCTGGTCTGTATTGGAGACTGGAGTTAAAGGCGTGCACCAGTCAGTGGTGTTAATTATAACCTGTTAAATGACGGACGGGCTTTAAATTTTCTGGTCATTAAAAAAAAAAAAACTGGTCAAATACAAAAAATATTCTGTTAACATGACCTGTGCTTTTGAAACTCAGTGACCTGACCACTCCATTTTTGTTACATCTTGTGAAGAAGGAAGTTGTGCTCAAGTCTACTTTAGAGGTTTGTGGGTCATTTCCTGCAGGGGTTTTTGGTGCAGCGCCCCCACAGGCAAGGAGGGGAATAGGTTTTTCAAAGAGTTAGGATCATTTATTAATGCTTTATTTCAAAACATTGAAAGGAAGCCATGAAAAGGGGATGCATATTATATTCCTTAAAGTTACAGTGTGTAACTTTAATATTAAGGGTGTTTTTTTTGTCTCAGCACCAAAACCCTGGCTCTGATTGGTTGTTTCTAGATAACCAATCAATCTCATCCCAAACTGTCACAACACAGTGACAGTTTCAGCAAATATGTAAAAAAATACTGATATGCTGGAGCTTTAGCAGGTAGTTCAAGAAAATATACATTCAGATACACACAAATATTTACAATAAATATACATACAGTAAAGACAAGACCTTGAGTCAACCAGTTTATGTTATATAATAATAGTAATTGTAAGATGCATTGCAGTGTGAAAATGTAAAAACCCAACAGAAAATGTAAAAAATGTTAAGTTTATTTTATAGCACATTTCAGAAATAAAGCAGTTCAAGGTGCTTTATATCCTAAAAAAACAAGTCAGACTCAACATCTGAAGCAAGCTAATTGTCAATTGTTAATCCCCAGTTGACATTTGTCGGTTGGGAATTAATGTTGCAGTTTCAGTCTGTAGAAGCTTCAAAACATATTTGTAGAGATTTTAGGGATGAGCAACTTCACCTGTGCTAACTGTGGCAGCCTGTTCCACGGGTCCGTCAGCTTCCCACCAGTTTGGCCATCGTCCTAAGCAGGAACCAGTTGATCCGTCAATCAATGCCCCCCACAGCCCTCCCTTTGCGCTCCCTCCAGTCCACCCGCCCTTTCATAATCTCCCATCTTTGCTCTCTCACCTTCTCCCTTCTTCTTATTCCACTGACCATGCATGTTCCAAAAACAGGTCTCATTTCCATTTGCAACACCTCCTTCTCCTTCCAGCCCCTCTCCTGCATCACCTCCTACTTTCCAAATCCAACTCCATCGTCTCACCTCCTCATTGCTCCACCTCAAACCCCACCCTTTGACCCCCACCGCCACCACCAGCATGTCGGCCCATGCAGGAATTTGGAGTGGGGTGTTCCTCCCATCCCGAGCCCATTCGGGGTATAAAACCCTCCGTGTGTACGTACCCATTCGCTCTTTCTGTCAGTCCAGCACTCCTGAATTGGAGGGTGCCACACTTCTAGGTGAGGGCGGTGGACTAAGGGTTGAACATTGCAGAAACAACAGAAGCACAGCAACAGGAGAATAAGAGCGTGGATAGGCACGGCTAGTCTATCCTGAGAGGATGGAGAACGCGCACACAAAGGTGACGGAAGAATGCCTGTCTTTCTTCGGGGTGAACGAGAACGTCGGCCTCTCTCCCGAACAGGTCAAGAAGAGCCTGGAGAAATACGGCTACAATGGTGAGAGTCCAGGCGATGGGGATGGAGAAGTTTGGCATTTAGTCCGTTCAGAAAACCACATTACTTCCTCCAGACATTTTCTGGTTTTCAGTTGGGTTGACGTCAGCGTAGCTTTCTGAAAACTCCTTGCTTTAGAGCGGACTTACAACAGCTGGTAAAATGCAGAGATACTGAGAAGCAGAGACTTTGACGGCTGTGAGGAGCTATTTAAAGATAGCTAAAGAAGATGGCTGGAGAGCGAGAGAGACAGGTGACGGCTCAAGAAACTTCCTGGGTGATATATGGACAGGCTCACCAAGCAGAGGCAGATAATTTTAGGATTGGTAATGCAGAAAGGGCTTTAGATGGCATTTTTTGCTGATAAATGTGATCAATAACTGTTGTCTGAGGGTGTTCATTGCATGGATTGACTGTAAACATTTTAATGAATGATCATTTGGCAGAAGAACACTGTGGCTTGACTTTTTAAATTAAAGTTCCTTCACCAATTTGAGAATATTTTGCGTTTTGGTGAATTTCTTTTGAGAATTTCCCTCAACAACTTATAAAAACATGCTTCTCCAGTGAACACTGACTAAACAATGCATTTCCTTGTCTCTCTCTGTCTCCGAAATGCCTCAACTTGATCTCCAGAGCTTCCTGCTGAGGAAGGTAAGTGTCTACTTGAGTACCTCCTCCACATGAGCACCAATTACAATGAGCAATCCCGTTAAGCAATGACATGACAGCAAAAGTTGGACGATGTTTGTCAATCATTGGTGACGATTTCTCAACATTCCCTCCCGTCATTAGCTGATTTGACTGTTTGTGTCTCTCAGGAAAGAGCATCTGGGAGCTGATCATTGAGCAGTTTGAGGATTTGCTCGTTAGGATCTTGCTGTTGGCTGCATGCATCTCTTTTGTAAGTTATTTCATGCCATTTATCTTCAACCTTCGTTAACATTAACACATTTAAAGCTT